TACTGATACTTTCAAGACCATCTTTTGGTTTGATTTTTTTGGTTTGTTATATTTTTTGTGTTTATCTCTGCTCTAATAATCGTGGGTTTTTGTGGGGGTTTTTTGAAGATTTTATTTATTTTCAGAGAGAGGGAGAGAAACATCAATGTACGATTGGTTGCCTATCACGCCCCCACTACTGGGAACCTGGCCCACAACCCAGGCAGGGCTCTGACTGGGAATTGAGCCTGGGACCCTTTGATTTGTAAGTTGGCACTCAGTCCACTGAGCCACACCAGTCAGGGCTGCTCTAATCTTTACCATTTCCTTCCTTCTGCTACCTTCCTTTCTGTTCACTTGATCTTTTTCTAGTTCTTCAAGGCATGAAGTTAGATTATTGATTTCAGATTGATTTTCTTTTTTAATGGAGGCTTTTAGAGTTATAAATTTCCCTCTGAGTCCTGCTTTGCTGCAGCCTATAGGTTTTGGTGTGTTATGTTTTCATTTTAATTTATCTCAAAGTATTTGTAATCTCAGTTGTATTTCTTCTTTGACCTATCAGTTGTTTAAGTGTGTTCATTTCCATATACAGGGGGCAGGGGCAAAAAAAACGGAGTTTTTTATAAAAAATTGTGTATTTATTCATACATGTTTAAACTTCATTTACCTTCAAAGTATTCTCCATTTGATGCAGTACGTCTATCGAGACATTTTTCCACTGCTCATATTAGTTTTTGAACTTAATGATTTTGATGCCTGTTAGTTGCTTCTGCTGATTTTGTTTCACCTATTCCACATCAACAAAACATTTCCCTTTGAGGATTTTTTTATCCAAGAAATAAAAAAAAGTCTCTTGAGGCAAGATCATGTGAATAGGGAGGTTAGGGCATGGGGATCATGCTATCTTTAGTCAAAAACTGCTGAATACTCAGTGCAGTGTGGGCAGGTACACTCGTAAATCACTCATCATGAAATGGGCAAATGCACTGAAAGAGCCTACAAAAAAAATTAACTGAATCCGTGCCCAGCCTCTCACAACCATGCCAGCTGGTACACTGATGCAGATAGGTTCCTAGAACACTAACCTAGCAGGGGAAGCCTATACTACAAGGGACCCACCCTCCAGAAGATAAATCTGGTTTTTGGAGGGGTTCTCCCTTGTATTTGTGAATTTTTAAAAATTTATTTATTGTTCAAGTACAGTTTTCTGTTTTTGACTCCCAACCCACCCCCCTAGTGCTCCCCACCTCCCTCCCATTTCCACCCCCCTTAGTTGTTGTCCATGTGTCCTTTATACTAGTTCCTGTAAATACTTCCCTTTTTTCCCCTGAAATTCCCTCCCCTCTCCCCTCTGGTCACTTTCCCACTGTTCTCTATTTCAGTGTATTTGTTTTTATTTTGCTTGCTTTGTTTGCTTGCTTGTTTGTTTTGTTGTTTAGCTTCCTGTTAAAGGTGAGATCATATGGTATTTGTCTTTCAATACCTGGCTTACTTCACTCAGCATAGTACTTTCCAGTTCCATCCATGCTGTTGCAAAGGGTAGGAGCTCCTTATTTCTTTCTGCTGCATAGAATTATATTTGTGAATTTTTAAATGTTCCTTTCTGTTACTGATTTCTATTTTCATTTCATGTGGTTAGAGATTTTATGTGATTTCAGTCTCATTAAATTTATTGGGGCTAACAAATATTTTGTCTTGGAGAGTGTTTCATGTACACTGGAGAAAATGTGTATTCTGCTATTGTATACTGTATATATCTGTTATATACCATATGTATATAATACACACTTATAACATTCTGTTTATCTAGGAGTGTCTTAATTTATCCTTTAGTTTTAAAGGACAATTTTGATGGACATAGAATTTTTGATTGATAGGGTTTTTTTCCACATTCTACCTGTCCTGTAGGGTTTATTGTTGCTTCTTATTGTGTGTTGTTATTGTTTGCTTTTTAAATAACTTTTCTAAACTATTTTTGTCATGCCTATTCTTTGTCATGTGTGGCTACTGAAGTCTGTTCTGTTTCCTTATTGTGATCAGCTAGTGTTTTGACAATGTCCTTAAACACCTGGAACCAGAAGAGAAGGAAAAAAAATATCCTTTCAACAGTTAGCCAGGCCATTTGTAACTCTTCCTTAGTCTTCACTTACTGCTTCTGCAGACCATGAAGGTCAACCAAAGGTTAAGAGCTTAGGGTCTTCTCAGGCCTTTCCTGAACATGTGCCCAGCCTCAACTATGTCTGTGGCAATCCTGATTCTCTGGTTTACACAGGATTTTTTAAAAGCCCAGCTCTGGTTGGTGTGGCTCAGTGGATTGAGTGCCAGCCTGCAAACCAAAGGGTCACAGGTTCTTTTCCCAGTCAGGGCACATGCCTGGGTTGCAGGCCAGGTCCCCAGTTGAGGGCATAAGAGAGGCAACCACACATTGACGTTTGTCTCCCTCTTTTCTTCCCTTTGCCTCTCTCTAGAAATAAGTAAATAAAAGTTCTTATTACCCAAATATAGCCTTGCCTATACTGTTTCTTCCTAGGGTTTTCAGTGTTTGTTCCTTGTCCCAATTCTTATTCCTTGCCCCAGGCTGCTGTATCAATTAAATGATTTCAGCCAAGATGCTCTAACCTTGGAATGCTCCAAAGTCCGGTTAACCAAGGCAAGCTATTGTGCTGGTCCTTTAGGTAGCTGAGATAGGTTGAAATCCACAAGTTACAGTTGTTTGAGAATAAGATGTGAGGTGCTCCTTCTGCCACTGGGAGTGCAGATTATTGTTTTCACAGCCACTCCTGATTTGGGATATAAGTGATGGTTGGCAGGCAACTTAAATGCCACAACTTTCTTTTTTCACTAAGCCTTGCCCTAGTTTTTATAAAATTTTTACTAGATTTCAAAGTTCTGCAAAAATTGATTATGACAGTATTTGCCACCTTATTAATTACTCTTTTTAGAAGGTTGGTAGACTAGAGTTTTCTACTCTGTAAAAACCTCTGATATGGATGATGATGTGCTATTCACCAGAAGTAAGGAAATTGGGAGGGAGGGAGTTGATTTATGGATATTTTATTTGAACATGGTATTTGTATTTGAGGTGCTGATGATAAAATTTGTAGATGTCTAGTGACAATTGGAATTGTAGTGTTTGATTTCTCAAAAGCTTAGAGCTACAAAGAGACCTTAGAACCTTCTATACAGAAGTTACAAAGAATGGAAAGTGTATGATTTCCTTGAAGTGAAGGGGAAGTCCAAGCATGGCATCTTAGGAAACATTTTCAGATAAGGGATCATTTCACTTACTCATTCCACAAATACTCACTTTGTTCCTACTACTACTGTCAGTACTGGTAAGCACTGGAGATAAAAGGTAATAAGATCCAGTTTTCTGCTCTCAAGAAGCTCATTCTCTTAGTAAGGAGATAGACAAGTAAACAAATAGAATGCAGTTTTATAACAAGATTAAGAGGAGCTTAGACAAAGACACACAAGAATATTTAAACAAGTCAGTAGGGAAAACAGGAGAAGTTAAAGGAGAACATAATGGAGAAAGTAATCAGATATTGGTTGCTGCATAGAGTTTGAAAAGACTTAGGACTCTAAAGGATACTGATTGGCACTGAGGAGATGACATACTTTCATAAGAATAGTTTAAATTGAGTAGTTTTGATGCGGAGATAGGTGATCATATTAAAAGGAGTTAGGAGTGAGGAAAAAGTTGAAGGAAAAAGGGAAGACAACTTTTTAAATAATGGCATATTTTAAAGGGAGTAGTGGAGGTAAAGTAACTTTATTTTAGAGTAGAAGTCATCTGAGTGTTGATTTTAGAAAATAGAAGAGATTGAGTAAAAAGGAAACAAGGATGGCCAAGAGGCAACAAAGACAGTAATGAGAACCTAAAAGAATAGAAACTTAGGTGAAAAAAGAAGAAAGTAACAAGAAAGTTTTGAGAGAAAGTATTTGAGAAATTTTACCTAGGAGTAGTTTTCTTGGTAAAAGGGCACAAAATCACATGCTCGGAAATGAGTGGTGGTGCCCTGCTCGGGTGCTCGGTTGCTTGTAGTGTCGTCCTGTGCTCGGAAAGGTTGCAGGTTCAGTCCCTGGTCAGGGCACCTATAGGACACAGCCAGTCAGCGCTTCTCTCACATCAGTGCTTCTCTTCTCCCTCTGCTCCGCTCCCTAAAAGCAATAAACATACCCTTGACTGAGGATTAAAATTAAATAAAAAATAAAAACAAATGAGCAGTGGTGAAAATGCTTGCCTAGTGATGATATTTCATACATCTGTGATGATATTAGCATTTGATGATTTTTTTCTTGTCTTTCAACAAGTATATATTAAACATCTATTGTGAGATGCTTAGGATTATATACACGAACAAACTAAATAAAAATCCCATCCCTTGTTGAGTTTAAATGTGAATGGAGTGAGGGAGGCAAACAAATAATTTATTATTTTTAAATAAACATGAAATAAATAGAGCACCCTGGGTCTTGGAAGTAAGAAAGCAAATGAGAATATTACCTAGACAAAACTATAATTTTATATTGCATATATCAAGTTGTAAGTTACTTTTATTTCTATACAGCTAATTATAAAATCTAGATTTAAAAAATAAGATGGGTTTGGTGGACCTTTTATGTACTTGGATTATAGATATGAGGGAAATGATTTATTTACATTTAAGAGGAAATTTGTTAGATTAGTACAACTTTATAATTATGCAGTTATTTCAGGGCTTTTGACAAGAAAAAAAGATGAGAAGGTGAACCGTCAAGTAATAACTGCAGTTAAGTGGTTGGTTGTAAAAATAATTGGTAAAGGGGGTGGGCAAAAGGTAAAAATTTCTAGTTATAATATAAACTAGTCATGAGAATGAAAGGAGGGGGGAAAGGAGGAGAAAGAGAAATCTATTTAAGTTTAAGGCTTAAAAGAACTAGGGTTGAAGATTTTTTATAAATAATAAATTGGGGTTTTTTTTTTAGGTTATCATTGTATTCCCTTCTCATTACTTTTCTTTTTTCAATCTGAACAGGTATTGGGAAAGTCAAAAGAAAACCCAGTGTGCCAGATTCTGCGTCTCCCGCTGATGATAGCTCTGTTGACCTAGGGGAACGTCTCTATGACCTCAACATGCCTGCATATGTGAAATTTAACTACATGGCAGAGAGAGAGGATGAATTATCATTGATAAAAGGGACAAAGGTGATCGTCATGGAGAAATGCAGTGATGGGTGGTGGCGTGGTAGCTACAATGGACAAGTTGGATGGTTCCCTTCAAATTATGTAACTGAGGAAGGTGACAGTCCTTTGGGTGACCATGTGGGTTCTCTGTCAGAGAAATTAGCCGCAGTCGTCAATAACCTAAATACTGGGCAAGTGTTGCATGTGGTACAAGCTCTTTACCCATTCAGCTCATCCAATGATGAAGAACTTAATTTTGAGAAAGGAGATGTAATGGATGTTATTGAAAAACCTGAAAATGACCCTGAGTGGTGGAAATGCAGGAAGATCAATGGAATGGTTGGTCTGGTGCCAAAAAACTATGTTACCATTATGCAGAATAATCCTTTAACCTCAGGTTTGGAACCATCGCCTCCACAATGTGATTATATTAGGCCTTCACTCACTGGAAAGTTTGCTGGCCATCCTTGGTATTATGGGAAGGTCACCAGGCATCAAGCAGAAATGGCATTAAATGAAAGAGGGCACGAAGGTGATTTCCTCATTCGCGATAGTGAGTCTTCGGTAAGTTGGTTTTCATGTGGAAATGGAAATAAAGCTCTGGGTATTGAAACAATAAACAGAAAATTGGACAGGTTAGTGGCTTCCCTATACATGTTCTGAAGCTAAAGTCAGTGTTCATTCCAACTTTATTTTGAATAAAATATAACGCTCACAGTGATACTAAACTGGATTATTTGGCCTTGTCTAGTTCTATTGGTTTTTCATTCCTGAAATATTTTATGTTGCATTAAACTGAAAAATGGGGAAATACAACATTGGCTTCTTCACTGAGAGTAGAACAGTTCAATAGACAAAACTGGGAAAACATTTCTTGAATTATATATCAGATGCACTGTCATTCATATAATAAAGGGAATTTTTTAATTTTAGAAGTTGACATTTAATGTCTTCATAAATTGCTTGTTTCAAAGTTGGAATACACATTTATGTACCTAGAAACCTTTTTTAAAAACATTCACAGTATTTAAAATGCATTTGGGATAAAAGTTAAATTTATTCTAATACTAATAAAACAGTAAAACTATAAAACCATAAAAAGTTAGTAAGAAAATAGTTACATGGACTCTTTAGATACTGTATAGAATATTAGAATTTGATGTTATTCATTTCCCTTAAAAAGTAGTCCTTATTTTTTCTTGATAAAGGTTACCACTGTGTTTTTATCTTTCAAATCATGATTAGTATTGGCTTTGTGTGTAACTGTACAAAAGTGAATGTGTGGTACAAAAGGTTGAAAGAAAGAAGAAACTTTGGGGGCGTGTGTGTGTTTGTGTGAGTGAGCAATGGAGGGAAGAGAGAGAAGATGTAGATTCACTGAGCTGCCAATGTGAGGTTCAGGAAATGGGGCCTGTGCATGCATATAACACCCCAGGAAGAGCAGGTGGTTGATGATAGGGAAGAGGAGCACTGTAGTTCCCTCTGTCTCTCCACCCTGTTACTTGTTTACTTTTTTTTTGGTCTCATTTAGGCATTTGAGTTTATGACCTCTCATAAGTTTACATTATTTCACATTTTTGTGTCTTTCATCTTTGAGAATTCAGAATATTATCTCAGCTACCCTGTAAGACAGCTGTTGGTTACTAATTGAAAAGGGATGATGTCTTCCATTTTCTTATGTGTTTCTCTAGTGGTGTGACGGGAGAGAAGATAATAATAGCTCTAGATGTGCTTCAGATGTTAAACTAAAGGATTTGCTGTGGTGTTGGGTAGAACGTGTTAGTTAAGAGACTTTGGAGTCTGACTGGATTTGAATCCTGACCGTTAACTAGATGGATGATCTTGGATACTTTAGCTTCTCTTGGCCTGTATTTCCCATCTTTAAAATGAGCTTGTTATCAGGCATAAATAATTTAACATACAGTGCCTAGTACTTAGTGTTTACATTCTAGCTATTATTAGTTTAATATAAAAATGCTAATAGATGCCTTTCAAAGTGTTTACCCTACGTGTTTTTTTTTTCTTTTTTAGCCAAATGATTTCTCAGTATCACTAAAAGCACAAGGGAAAAACAAGCATTTTAAAGTCCAGCTAAAAGAAACTGTCTACTGCATTGGGCAGCGTAAATTCAGCACCATGGAAGAACTTGTAGAACATTACAAAAAAGCCCCAATTTTTACAAGTGAACAAGGAGAAAAATTATATCTTATCAAGCATTTATCATGATACTGCTGATCAGAAGTGACTGTTGCACAGCTCTAATTCGTCATGTTACTGAAGACTGAAAAAATGTCAGTACAATCATGCTTGATTGGATATTGCTGTTTCTAACTCTACATGAGAATTGACTACAATACATAAGTATTTTTATTATAACTCAGCCCATACATATATATATATATACTACATATGCAACCCATCCGCATAAGCAATTCCTTTTCCTTGGTCTTCTGTGTTATCATTTTCTTTGCTGTTTTTCATTTTGCTTCTAATATTAAGGTTTTATATCTTGAGAAAATGATGCAGATCGAAAGTCTTTATATGGAAGAATTTCTTATATTGCCTTTTCTTTATTTCCTTGTAAGGATACCCTATTAGTCACTTCCTCAATGGTTTCTCTTCATGTAAAATTATATCAATATATGGCATATGCTAAAATAAATTTCTTGGAGAGTGTTAATCTTTTTTGTGACTAAATAGCAATAATAAATGGAAAATTAGAAATTATTTTCATGTATTTGTCACAAGCCATTATAAATATCAATCAGGTATGTTGTGTCTGCCATTATTTTTAAAAATTCATTCATTGTCTTCACTGTAATGCAAAACAAATGGGACATAGCTTATATGTACAAGACAAAGACATATATCTTGTACAATTTGAATTTACAACTGTTAGAAACAAAAATATCTACATTTCTAAGAATTGTTTTATTCTTGGTCCTTCTTTCTCATTTAGTTATTCAAGAGAACAAAAAAGCAGTGTTCAAACCGTAAATGGAGGCTCTAGTGTTATTTTTTCCTCATGTTATATTACCAAAGCATCTTATATTAAAATACATCTGTGTCAGTGTAAAAAGAAGCTATAGCCAATTTGGGGGAAGTAGGAGGCAATGAGATACTTGATCTCCTCAAACCCCATCCAAAAACATCAGTAATTATCGGGCATAGTATTTCTACTATTTAAATTTCCTTCTTTCAGCTTTGAGTTTTGTTGACTGGGACTCTAAAATTATTATATACCTGAGGAAGAGATCAGATGTGCTCATAGTTAGAGAAAAGTATTTTTTAAATTTTACTTTTGCAAGTGCTTCTGTTACATTTTTATTTAGCAAGCAGAAGTTTGTGCATGTAAACGAGAAGCTACTATAGAGTCTTGAATCTACATCTGCAGGTCACAGAAGAAAACCATTGTATTTTATGATCACAGACTTTTCCTCCATTATTCTACAGATTTAAATTTAAGCAACCTTCAGTATATTAATTTAAAATATTTACCAAAACCACAAAACTTTTAAACAGAAGTCATGTATTTTGAAAAATTTCCCAGGAAAGCCTAAGCAGATGAATGTTTCTATTCTTAATATGTTATAAGCAGATATTTAATACACCAGAACTACAGATGTTAAAGTTGAAGTCACCCAATTCATGAAGTTTTGGGGTTTTTTAATTTGTTTTATTTTAAATGGTTTCCTTTTAATTCTCTAAATCTTAAAATCATTTTAAAAAACTTAATGTTGCCACTGGGTGGCAGACCTGGCCTCTCCCACTGAGCAACAGAAGGCAGCTGATGTAAGACATTGATGTACAGTTTTTTTCATCTTCATTACATCTGCTTTTAAAGCCCTTAAATTTCTATAAATTTCTATTTCTATATCTTTCTCAGTCCCCCTTTGTTTTTTTTTTTATTTTTTAAAATTACAGTGTACATTAAATATTTTGTATTATTTTCAGGTGTATAGCATAGTGGTTAGACATCAGTCCCCCTTTAAGATGGTTGGTAATTAGTAGGTAAGTTTAATGGAAATAAAAGTCATGTATGCTTATCTTATTTTGCTATAAAAATCACTTGAATATAAATTGAAGAAAACTTTTTAAGTGGTTTTGAAGTGATTAGATAGTAAACATTTTTTTATTTAACTTTAAACATTCAATGAAGACTTCTTTCTCCATTGCTTTTTTATCCAATCTTATTTTTTTAAAGGACCAATTAATACTTAGTATCACAGATATGAACCATTTATAGCAAACCCCATTGAGCTGATGACAAAAATTTTGAGAAGGTAGCTAGAAGAGTAGCATTGGAAGCAGAATGCATATTTCTGTGCCATAATTAGAATAAATAACTAGAGTTCCCAGATAGTCCATGTGTACCCGTGATAACTACTGTATGTTCTTATTATGGTGTGAAAACCTCACTAGAAACTACTTAATTTTGTATTTTGACATTTTATCCAATTTTTAAAAGTCTTAAACCAGTCCTTACACTAATGGCTGGTTTTATAAGCATGAATTTTACTTGAAGCAATTTTCATAAGATAGAACAACCTTAGAAAATATCTGCATAGCAGGAATTATATTAGAAACCAGATTTGCTTATTCCCCACCTGGTACACCAAGTATCATGACACATTCCCATCAGTTGCAGCTTGTTTTCAGACTAGAGAGCTCTAGGAAGGACAGTGTTACAAAAATTCTCGTCCACCTATGAGGAAGTGCTTAGGTATCAATTTAAACACAGATAGCACACATAACCCTGCCCAGCCCACTTCCACAAATAACTTCTCCAAAATCTTGGAAGAAGGAAGGTTTTCAAAACTTTGTATGAACTAAGTAAGTAAAAGCTGTTGTTGGCTGTGTCTGTTAGTTGATTGTGAAACATCTGACATACCACACATTTCACTGTATGCAGTTAACACAGGCACCTGGCACTGTTAAAGATGGTATATGGCAGATAAGTCACTAAACAGAATAGGAAGGCTAGGTGCAGTCCATTATCATTGCTGGAAGAATAAAGGCCTAGCAGATGAGCAACTTGGGTTAGAATAACCTCAAAATACAGTAAATAAAAAATTAAAAGGTCATCCTTAAATGGCATATAAATTATTTCCAGCATTAATGCAGTAGTTCTTTTAAACACACTGATTACATTATTACACTTGTCCCAGTTTTTCCTCATTTGTCCCCCTCTACCTGGTATACCCTTCCTTCCAGCAATCCCCTCCTTCTTAGTTCATGTCCATGGGTGGTGTATATGAGTTTTTTGGCTTCTCCATTTCCTATACTGTAATAACATCCCCCTATCTATTCTGTACTTACCAGTTAAGCTTCTTTCTTAATCCCTGCACCTTTCCCCCATTCTCTCCCTCTCCAGGTGATAACCCTCTAAATGATCTCCATATCAGTGGTTCTGTTTCTGTTCTGCTGGTTTGCGCAGTTTTTTTAGAGTCAGTTGTTGGTAGTTGTGAATTTGTTGCCGTTTTAGTGGTCATAGTTTTGATCTTGAAGGAACAGCATTTCATGTAATAATGTCTTAGTGATGATGAACTACTTTAGCTTTACTTTGGGAAGCACTTTACGTGTCCTTCCATTCTAAGTGAAAGCTTTGATGGATAGAGTAATCTAGGTTGTAGGTCCTTGCTTTTCCTCACTTTAAATACTTCTTGCCAGTCCCTTATGCCCTGCAAAGTTTCTTTTGAGCAACCAGCTGACAGTCTTATGGGTACTTTTCCTGTAGATAACTCTGCTTTTCTCTTGCTGCTTTCATTCTTAATCTTTAACCTTTGACATTTTAATTATGACGTGTCTTGGTGTGGACCCTCTTTGGGTCCAACTTGTTTTGGATTCTCTGTGCTTCCTGGACTTTTATGTCTGTTTCCTTTGCCAAATTAGGGAAGTTTCCTTTAATTTTTTCAAATAAGTTTTCAATTTCTTGCTCTTGCTCTTCTCCTGGCATCCCTATGATTTGGTTGTTGGTATGTTTGTAGATGTCTCAGAGGGTCCTTACACTAGCCTTGCTTTTTTCCATCCTTTTTTTCCTCTTGCTGTTCTGGTTGAATGCTTATTTCTTCCTTATGTCCCAAGTCATTGATTTGAGTCTTGGCTTCCTCCCCTTCGCTGTTGTTTCTCTGTAGATTTTTCTTTATTTCATTTAATGTAACCTTCATTTTTTTCCTTTATGTTTTTGCCATACCCAATCAGTATGTTCTTTGAGCATCCTGATTACCAGTGTTTTGAACTCTGCATCTGATAGGTGGGTCATCTCCATTTTGTTTAGTTCTTTTTCTAGGGTTTTGTTCTGTTCTTTCATTTGCGCCATGTTTCTTTGTTTCCTCAATTTGGCAGCCTCCCTCTGTTTGTTCCTGTGTATTGGGTAAAGTTGCTTTGACTCCTTGTCTTAGTAGTATGGCCTGTTGTAGAAAAGGCACCTGTAAATTCGGTGGGGCAGAGCCTTAGGTAATCGCCAGGGCTGGTCAACCTGCTTCACCACTTTGTGGTTCTGTGTTGGGGGGAGGGCTGTAAAGGGGGCGACAGTGCTGCTGCTTGGTTTTGAGAGGTTTGCTTGGCACTCGCCCCATTTCCTGTCACTTCACCTACTTCCCGTATGCAACTGGTGCCATTCCAGCTGTTGCCCTGGTGGTGAATCCTAGAGTGGGTGGATTTGTGTACATTCAAAGACCTTGTAGGCCCTTTAAGTGGAGTCGCCTGAAAATCTGACATTTTCTTCTGCTGCCACAACCCCCACTGGTTTTTACAGCCAGAAGTTATGGGGCTAGGCTCACTTGCTCCCAAGGTATTCCTACTAATTTTTATCCAACGCATGTGAATGTGGGACTACCTGTGCCCATTCTGCAACCACCTCTGCACGCCACACCATGTCTCCTTGCCTCTCCACCCATCTCTGCTCTTCCCACCCATCTGGATGAATATGACTTCTTTAAATCCTTGGTTGTCAGACTTCCATACAGTTAGATTTTCTGACAGTTCTGAGTGTTGTTTTTGAGGTTTAGTTGTAGTTCCTCTGGTTGTGTGAGGAGGTGCAGCAGGTCTATCTACACCTCCATCTTGACCGGAAATCCTGCTGTCTAATCCAGAGATTGCAAAGAAGCAGGCTACTGCTGTCTACAGGTACCTTTGTGAGAATAAGAAAAGGCATCTCTTCCTCTCAGGCAAGCCCAGCCTCTTTTCTTATTGAGAAGTCTGAATTTACATTGTATATTCTCAGTCTTCCCCACTCCATCTTGGCTAGGTTACCCTGTTCAGGGTACAACAAAATAGTTCTACCACAGAGTGCTTTAAAAAAGTCATTGTTAACATTTGAGAATTGGGGCATATCACATCAAATACAGAGTTCTGGTTTCCCCTGAAGAATGAGTAGCTGACAATACTGAATTCCCACAAGGCTATTATCATATAGAACTTATGGATGGTCCCCTTATTTTTACCAGTACAGGTGGGTGAAAAAATCAATGTAAGAAAAGCTTCCCAATTCTTATTCTTCTACTTCACATCTCCAAATGCAGTTACTGTTGCTCTCTTTTACCAATAACATGGAGAGTTTGGTTTGGAATCTGGAAACTACCATTTATCACAAACACTTCAAATGCAGTGTCCAAATCAATAAATTAGAAATGCAGCATTATTGCATGCTTAAACTTTTCCACTTTAATATTTTGCTAC